CTTCTACTGGACGTATAGCACCATGGACCGTTAGGTGCCTGGCCTCCTGGATTGCGGCACCAATTGGAAGCATTAACCAGTTCAGGATATTCAGCCAATGGATGATCGTGACGATGAGGACATTGTGATGACCACGCCTGACACACGTGACCTGATTTTGTCGTACTAATTGTTCCGCGGTAACCGAGACCATTTCCGTAATAACATTCTATAAGAAATCAAAAATGACATCGCCTAATACAGACAACTTCTGTGTACAAGAAAAAAATTATTTGCTTGAGGAGCTCAATTCCAACCCTAGGCGAAAGTGAAAGCTTGAATAATATTGTGAAATGTTTTCGAATCATCGTTGCATACCTTTATTTTGAATCTTGTCTGTTTCAGCTACAAATAAAAGAATGAGTGGGCTCGTTAAAATGCCGCTAAGCTTACGCAATTAAAACAACTGAAGATAGACAAATGTTCAAGCACTTCGTGGTTCAAAATCCTCACCTATCAAGTTTACCCTTGCTCGTTTTGGAAGAAATGAAATTCTGGCTATATTGAGGACATTTACTGCGGAAAAATACAAATCAACAAGGCCGGCCAGTAGATTCACGGAAAATTTGTCATTAGGAAATAGTAATTGTGTCTGAAAATTAACTGAATCTATGAAACTAGAAGCCAAAATGTTTTATTAGCAGACAAACACTAAATGTATGATGAGTTTTGTGCTATTTTACCTATTTATATCGTGAGATACTTGAGAGTGCTATCAGACAGACGAAGCCATAAAGTTGTAAGACCAGTGAGACTTATCCGATATATATATATTTTTTTAAGTGCCGTCATTTATTCTTCCAAATAATCGACGATGTAAAAGCCATACAATAAAAGATTTATTTATCTCGCTTGCTCGGTTTGTACGAAAATATACCAAATCTCGTCCTTTTTTGTACGGACAGAGCGTAGCGAGTTTCTGTTCAGACCTCCGGGTCCGTGATATTTTCCCGTACAGACCTCACAGTCGGTTAATAACCTCTCAATGTTATTATATTATATATGTACACAGCACTATACTGAAAACACATTCTTACAGTTCATTTCCCTCGGATAGTAGCACTCTGGGTTGTCTCCACCATTACGGTACTTAAAATCAGTGCAGTTGACGAGGATCCAGACCAGAGGATACCCTGATCCAGCTTGTTTCTTATTATAGCCTTTAGCCATTTCCAGCTCCTTGGCGCAGACTTTAGAGACATATTCGCAACTTTCTCTGCAAATTGGTCTTCCCATCACCTTATTAGAAGTCACATCACATATTGGGAAATACTCTGGACAGTTCGCTATGAAGTAGATTCTCAGACAAGCCTTGCTTATAATTATTCTACCATGAGCTTCTAACAACTTTCGACCATTATCCATAAAAGTCAGAGTATCCTCAGTACCTTTCTGTTCCAAAAAATTGGCAAAAAGAGAGGTATTAGCCAAGACATTTTTACAGTACCCATTGGGGAAATAGTACGGAAAACACTTGCCACTGGAACTGATTATCGGGTGCGCAGGGATACAGCTGTAAATAAGTTAAGAAAAGAATCAGTACAAACCAATTAATCGGGTCTTTCCAATCCGACTACATGTATGACGTTTATAACGCTATGTGAAGTGATATGTAGTGTTGAAAAATAATCAGCAGTTTTATACAAGAGCTTGTGATCTACGTATCGGGACATTGCATTTGAGTACCATGTTGAAAACCACTGATATGTAGACAGTGGTTTCTGGAGTTAGTCAGCCCCGTTTGTTATGTTCTGTATCCGCCACTTATACATTCGGACTGGATTATTTTATTCCATTGATTTACCTTGTCTGAGTTGTATTTACAAGCRAATCTACAAAAGAAAGATGTCTCACAGTTAATTTAAAAATATAAGGAAAAAACAACTTAAGTAACAATGCGCGTAAGAACTGTAGAACTCTCTATTGTTCTGCGGCATTGCAACTTCCCTACATACAAATTTCTTGGTTTTCACAGTGATTATATATCAACATATGGGTAACGCATTTTTGAAATAAAATGTGGATAAACTGTATTTTGAAACAAAGTTTCTTTTGTATTAAAACTTCTTATCCAATCATAAGCACTCAAAACAATAGCCAAAAGAAGCTTCTAATTTGCTATGTTCCCCACATAGAATTGCCTTAATATTGTAGTTTATTAGCACCTTCTTGCATTCCTTTGCCGTTTGCTTCTATAGTTCTTACTCGGGCCATTACTTAAGAGATATTTAACAATTAGACCTCGAGGTCGAGTGGACTATGAGGCCGAGTCCGCGAGGCCGAATGGGCTATTAGCTCGTAGACCACGAGGCCGAGAGGTCTAATTGTTTTAGTATAAACATACTAATCGGTCAAATAATGAAAACAAATTGAAATATCCTTAAAATAATTTATTAATGAGATGCCGTCATTTTGATTTTCCCGCGAGTGGTCTATCACAAATTAGACCATTAGTAGAGTAGCCAATCACAGTGCAGTATGAGTGATAGACCATTAACATGTTTATACTAATTAAGGATATCGCTTTTATTAGTCCCTGAAAGCTTCTGGTTGAATCCCTTTTTCGCCATTGATTATTTTGTGTTAGTTTTTGCCTAGTTAAGGAAACAATTAAGTGGGATTCTGGTAAATATATATTGTATTGTGGGATCAGAGAAAGTAAAGACTAGTACTTTGAAAATTTAAAGTCATTAAAACATGAAAATTAACACAATTGTAAATTATCTCGATTTCTGATTGTTCGAGATGGGTGTTAGATAAAAATACATACCCCGATTTACGGTATTGGTATCTAATAGTAGAATTTTTTTTTTGTTGAATCCCAGGTTCAGGCAGAATTTATTCATTATTTTCAAATTAAGTCTAATCACGCGCTGCATGATATGATATCCTGATTAAAACTATTACAATGATTTATGATTCAAGGCAGAGTTTTAGCTAAGAACTATTTAAGAAAAACGTAAAATTTGCCTACCTGTACTTGCCCACAGGAAAGATAAAAGAGTCACGATCATAACACACTTCATGGCTGAAAAGAGGTTATGCATAAAATTATAATCCATACAACACTTTATTCTGTTTGTACTCTGCACAGTTGCTAAGTTTTTTTTATTTCCCATCATAATAAGATACAAATTCATAGTTTGATATAGTAATCGAAGGCTTCTTTCATTCAGTACGGTTTAATGAACCGTCTTAATTTATGCATGGTCTTCGACGGCAATGTTTGAGATATAATAATAAGACTACCAAAACTGAAATATTTGAGCTTAGGCAATGGGTAATTAAGGCATTTCAAAATAGACGCAATAGCAGACAATGAAAAGAGGGTAAAGGAATCTGATTAACAGGGAAATGACGCGTCCGCACGCTATTTAATCATTCTGCCAGATTAAGATTGTTTACTTAACTTTTGCGGAAACAAATTCATTGGAACAGTCTGGAGAAACTGAGCACTTCAAGACAAAATGCTATTAAACGTATCTCATTTTTGTCGAAATTTATAATCGAAAATCAAAAACAACAGATTGACATGAGGCAACAACAAAGTTATTGAGCTATATTTCTGTGTTTCAACTATGTCCGATATAAAGTGCATGCACGTACTAAGCTCTTTTTGATTCATTTTGTCAAATCTGTCAAAATTATTTAGAATCCGTCTTTACATGAGGTAGAGAGCTCATAGGTTGCTAGGTGATAGGGGTAACTCTTTTGTTTATGAAATGAATACAGGATGCAAAACAAAAATCATCCTGGTCTTCATATAGTCAGGTTCAAATAAGAAGAATGGACTATTGAAATATCAATAGTAAGTTTTTGATCATCGGGGATTCAGGGGGTGCACTATTAAAAAATGACATAATGCACTCATTACTCAAAACGGAGATGATAAAAAAAATTTTTTTGCATCAATAAAAGATTGTCTTCCCCTCTATTCAACTGTCAACATTTTTATGTCAAAGCCTTTTTTCATTGTAGAGGAATTTCABGTACCAGGCTACGATGAATTCCTAAGCAAGACCCTAGTATAGAATAATACAGAAGATGAATAATTCAMCATACAATTTTTTCCAAATAATACCCACATCATATCTCCCGTCAAGCAATAAGCCCTCTAAGCTATATAGTCTATTCAAAGAAGTCAAAAACTGTATAYGATTTACCTGCTTCGAGCATCAATTGGCGAGAGTGTGAAACAGTTGTTTACATACCGTCGCGTAGCTTCTTCTGCAACTGTGCAGTCTAAAGTTTGAAAACGTAACGTTATTTTAACATCAGGACGCTTTTCTTATGCTCGATATTTCTATATTGACGCTGAATGTAATTAAACTCGTCAGTTTTCTAGAAAATAAGGAAATGATGCAGGACACATTGGCTTATGAAGCGTTGTTCGACGAGCTTAACGATTAAATGACATGGACCTTAAACTTCCGGCTACAATCGTCATCAGTTATTCCTGTGGGGGGAGGACATAATAATGACCTAAAGTCTGTCAGAAAGTTCTGTCATTTTAAGAACTTAACATAAGACCAATTTCATACTGAAATTTCAAAGTAGTAAAAGTCAATGTTTTCTATT